TTCAACAAGACAAAAACATGCACAGCTTCTAGTTTATACTCAGGCTACATGGGACGGTACTAGGTACATGATGGAAGGAGGCTTTAAAAAGAACCAAAGAATGACAAGAGAAGCCTTTTTTTAATAGTTGTTGTTTTGTTGCATCATCATGACTGGTGGGTGGGGTCACAGCTATGGTCTTTAAAGAGTGCTGTCTCTTCTATTGCGTCAGACTGTTTACGGCGCCTCGGCTCCAGCAGAGCCACTAGTGGTAGGTTGAACATGCACAAGCAGAGCTGGGAATGGGTTTTACACCCTACCTCCCAGTTCAGTTTTAACACACTGGTGTCAGTGGTCACAGCACAGGGAGCGTTTGACACAGAAGGAGGTCAGACCGCCTCCACGCCTGGAGAAAACTTTCTATTATGGCTTCAAAGGGAGACCATCCTGTTTCAGAGCTTTGAGGTGGAGTTTCTCCCACAGAGGAGAAGAAATCAATCAGAAAATGTTGAGATTGAATGATGTGTATTAAGCTCAAAGTATTGCACATCAGTCTAAGCCTAGTGGAGGGGGGTGGGGGGGGGTCGATGACTGTGGCTGGCAGTTAACTCGACGTGGTACCTTGGCACATGACGATGGGACACGGGAGAGCAGTCATTAGGTGTCAGCTGGGTAATCAGGTGGGTTGGCAGGCATTTGGGTGGGTGGGTGTGTCTGGGGGGAGGGGAGGGGGAAGAGGTTGGACAGTCATTTAGCTCTGTGCAGTTAGTCGCTGCTCTGTGAGCGAGGCCTGATGTGATACCGTCTTGTTTTCATGAGCCCTCAGCTTAGACACCACGTCGATGAAGGCCAGGCTCTGCACCTCTTTGTAAAGAGGCTCTGAAATAAACAAACAAACAAACAAACAAATAATACAGGTTAACAAGCAGAAGGTCCAAATCCCTACAATATACAGAATTTTTTGGATTCCAGACAGAACTCYGCAAAAATTAACAACAAAAACCAGAGAAACCCTGAGTCATGTGTCAAACTCAAAGTTGGCCCACAGGTGAGGGGGGTGGGGGTGGGG